TCAGGGGCACCTTTAGAGTACATAAAATAAAAGGTAAATGTTGCCAGCATATTTATAACTCTGTTCTACTAAAAATAATAATAAAAAGAAAACAGTATTTTCCATTCATAAGAACTACAATTGTTACTTCATGAAAAAAATGTTGAGATAAGCATCAGTTAAATAATAGATACTATTTTGTAGAACAAAGCTCCTTTGAACAGACAGTTCAAAATGTTCCAGTCTCAGGATTTGGTTAAAAGTACGGTCAAATGAAAGTACTTAGTCCTCTCAGAAATTAAACTTTATGTTACAAAACTGGTCTGTTGCTGTTCTCAAAATCACCAGGTGATTACAGGATGATAAAATTTCCATTAGCAATCAAATGTAGCAATTGAAGAAAAGGGTCCAAAAGAGTAACAAAGAGGATACTTTATCGCAGGCATGATCTACTGAAGAAGATGCTGTCACTAAGGTGTGAAAAAAGGGTTCATCACTGAAAAACATTAACTATTGTGTTAAAGATAAAAGGCTTAAGCACATACAATACAAACAGCTGTAGGAACAAGAGGATAAGTCTATAAGGGCAAATGTAACATCTGGCAAGCCCTAAAAAGGTCCCCTATTGACATGAGACACGTGTTCACTTATTACACAGAAAATGCTTTTTGATGTTCACAACTCTTAGAACAAATTACACATATTAAGAATTTTCAAACAGAGGTGCCTGGGTGGCTCAGTTGGTTAAGCTTTCAACTTCGGATCAGGCCATGATCTCATAGTTAGTGGGTTCGAGCCCCATGTCAGGCTCTGTGCTGACAGCTCAGAGCCTAGAGCCTGCTTCTGATTCTGTGTCTCCCCCTCTCTCTCTGCCCCTCCCCTGCTCATGCTCTGTCTCTCTCTCTCTCTCCCTCTCTCTCAAAAATAAATATTTTTTCAAAAAAGAATTTTCAAACATAAGATGGGTAACTTTATTCTTATTTTTGTTTTTGTTCACTTTTTAGCAATGTCTCCCAGCAACTATACATCGTTAGGAAAGGAGACTCCCAAACTTTGGCTGCCTGGCACCATGTACTCTTGAATAAATTCATAGAAAGTGCAGGGTTAAGAAATCTCAGTCTCCCCTCAGTGCTAAATTTGGGTGTGCCGATCAAAAGCATATGACTTCAGCACACTTCACTCCATGGACTTGCTGTGGCCACCAGATCAAACACCCATTTTATCATAGCAGTCATCACCTTGGCCAACTCCCATGACTCTCCAAGGCCAACAGAATGAAGTCCTAAAACACTGTACTGATACTCAAAGCCCTGGTTGGCCAGGCCTTTGAACAAACTGACTGCAACTTTACTACTCCATACTCTGCTTGACAGAGGAAGACTCCCTCACTTGTCACACCCTTCCTAGTTCCTACATCATTACAAAGAAATTCTCATGAGAAATGTATGTCAGACCTGACCTGACTGAGGTGGAGGTGTTGATAAAGACCTCAGCAGATATATAATAAGGAAGCCACCTGTCATGTTGACAACACTGTTAAACTCTCAAGAGTTTGTGGGAAAGCCACAAACAACTAGAAAACTCATGTGTTCCCCCATCAGGCTGATCAAGGGCACAATGTCCATAAGGATGACTCTGCAGGCTGCCAGCTAATCAGTTTACCCAAAAAATTTATAAGCAAGGTCCACTGTCTATTCTCTGCAATGTTTTCTCCCTCACTATTGAAAGATAATTTCACAGGGTACAGAATTTTTGGTTAGTATCTTTTATTCCATTTCAACACTTTAAATACTCTACTCTCTTCCAGAGTGCATGATTTCTGAGAAGTTGGATGTAATTCTTATCTTAGCTCCTCTATGGGTAAGATGTTTTCTTATTTTCCTCTGGATTCTTTCAAGATTCTTTATGTTTTGTTTTCTGCAATTGGAATATAGTACTCCTAGGTATTAAGTTCTTTTGTTTGTTTTTGTTTTTTGATATTTATCCTGCTTGGTATTCCCCAAAATTCCTGGATCTGTAGTTTGAGGTCTGACATTAATTTGGAGGAAATTTTCAGCCATTACTTCTTCAGAGGAATTGTTGTTTAAAGGAGGGGTACTTCAGAAATATAACTGGTGAGGGTCACCTGGGTGGTTCAGTCGGTTGAGCGACCAACTTCAGCTCAGGTCACGATCTCACGGTTTGTGAGTTTGAGCCCCACGTCAGGTTCCTTGCTGACAGCTCGGAGCCTGGAGCCTGCTTCTGATTCTGTGTCTCCCTCTCTCTCTGCCCCCCCACCCCCCCAACTCATGCTCTGTCTCTCTCTGTCTCAGAAATAAACATTAAAAAGATTTTTTTAAAGAAATATAACTGGTGAAAAAAATACCATTCTGCGAACAATTTAAAAGCACTAATGAAACCGCTTTTTGTGATACTATAGCCTAATTGCTTCATAGGTTAGTATGCATCAGAATCACATGGAGATGGGGCACAAGGGTGGCTCAGTCAATTAAACATCCAACTATTGATTTGGCCTCAGGTCAGGATCTCACAGTTGGTAAGTTTGACCCCCGTATCCGGCTCTCTGCTGTCAGCACACAGTCCACTTTGGATTCTCTGCCCCCCTTCTCTCTATGTCCCTCTCCTGCTTGCTGTCTCTGTCTCTGTCTCTCTCTCTCTCCAAAAGAAATAAACATTAAAAAAAAGAAGAATCACATGGAGGGCTTAATAAAACAAAGATTGCAGGGCCTCACCCTCAAGAGTTTCTCAATCAAAAGGTATGGGGTGCAGCCATATCCTTTTACCCTCCACAACACCACCGCACCAAGTTGTGAGCATGGTCAGATTTTACCAGCAGAGCGAGGATCAGTAGAATAAATATCAATGTTGACCGATAGAATTCTGGGGAATGGAGTAGGACTTTTTCTCAGTCTGAGTTAACCAAAGTGAAATCTTTCACAGAGCTTCTCCTCGTGCACTTCCACAGTTACTAAGCACACAGACCTGTACTGAGGTACATATTAACATGGAAAGTGCCTCCTCCTACCCCAACCATTCAACCTGACTCCTGCAATATGTACCAGAAGGTACAAACTGGTAAGCTAATATGTATTCAATTATCTGGAATAGAGTAGAAAAATGTATGAAACCTGAATGTGTCTCTTTATTCACGCATTTCTGCATTCATTTATTTCCTCAAATAGTGTTTGGTATCTATTATCTTCCAGGCACTGTTCTAAGCTCTGAGACACCAGTGAACAACAAAACAGAGAAGAGTGTTTCTGTTAAGAAGCTTACATTCTACTAGAGGAAACAGACTCTCGATTTTATATATATAATTTGGAAAAAAAGCTATTGAGAAAAACAGAGGAAGAAAGAGAAGGATGGAAGGACATGCTATTTTAGGGAGGGTATTGCGATATCTTACACATAAAGTGATATGTGAGCAGGGACTTGAATGAAGTGAGAAACAGAATCATGAAGATATCTAGAAAAATAATGCTCCAAGCAGAAGGAAGTAGAAGGGAACACAAAAAAAAAGGCTTTGTAAAGCCATAAAACTCAGAGTTTAAAAAACAAAACAAAAAAACAAGAAAGAGGCCAGTGCCTGTAATGTATTATTCTAAAAAAATGCAGCAAACTCTTTGCAATTAACTTGCATAGACAGTTTTGTTGGTAAAAACAGAATCATAAAAAATTTCCAACAAATGAATATACTAATTTCTAACATACGTACATATTTTATACTACTCTGGTTAAAGTGTTACTCCTTAGTAACCTAATTATTTGTACTTTGTTTTTTGAACAAAGGCCAGATACAGTTTTATAAGATATGAATCTTATTCAATTGTTTTGATATTATCAGCATGTCAATTAGAAGGTACTAAAATATTCTATGTTTACTGTTGCCTAATACCAATGTATCACTATATCTATTTTTTTTTTTTCAACGTTTATTTATTTTTGGGACAGAGAGAGACAGAGCATGAACGGGGGAGGGGCAGAGAGAGGGAGACACAGAAACGGAAACAGGCTCCAGGCTCTGAGCCATCAGCCCAGAGCCCGACGCGGGGCTCGAACTCACGGACCGCAAGATCGTGACCTGGCTGAAGTCGGACGCTTAACCGACTGCGCCACCCAGGCACCCCTCACTATATCTATTTTAATCTTGATGTCACTATGTTTGCTAAAGTAATGCCTTCAAGTTAAGAGCAACTGTAATGCAAAGCCTCATTTTAAATCACACTCTTAAATCTTCTTGCTTCTAAAGCTTAAACTCTGAGAGTTCAGCATAAAAAATAAATTTAATGATTAAAACACAACCCATCCTGAACACAATAGGTTTGTTTGTACTTGGAAGGGGGGAGCTGAATTTTAGCCATAGAAACAACCAACATGCACTCTGTCTTCCATGTCACTACAACTGACGCTTATGATAAAGGAAAAAAATACACTATACTAGCAAATTGGAACTTTGAAAGGAAAAAAAAAAAACCTGAAGTCTCTTATGATGCAAGTTTATAGAGCCTCACTCCATAAGGACAGAACCAGGGAGTGGCCACCCAAACAGTGGAGCAGGTCTCTGTATGAACACCCATTAACTAGTCTTAGTACTTGGACCTAATATGACCAACCACCCCCTAGATTCATGAAGCATTATTGCACTTAGTGATTTCCAACATGACTGTCACAGTGACATGGAAGACATTTTCTAATCAAATTCCACTTGATATTAACTAAGTACATAAAAGATTTGATCAGTGTCACCTAAATTTATAGAGCTGAAAATGCCAGCAATGATGTTAAGGCTATCTTTCAGTTGTAGAACATCTCTATGAAATTTTTATCATTTCTTCTTCAAAATAAATTAAAGAAGCATCTTTTATTATTTCCATTTCACATGTAAGGAAACTGAACTTGAAGGTATGAAGAAATCCTTTTTACAGAAAAGAGTCAGGTCTCGAATCCATGGATTCTGAGTCCAGTTCTATGTTGTTATACTACAATTAGTAATAATTTATTTAAAGAAAAAAATTGCTCACCATTGGGACAGTTCTTCCATATAATATGTCGGGCATTCTCATAATTTGTGTTCATCCAATTAAGCAGAATCCTTTCAGAACTCGAATATATGTTGCTGGATACAAAACAAGGATTGACCTTTGGTGAATTTTGCACATGAATGGGGGGCAGATTACTGCTGCAGTGTGGTACAACCCGGGATAGTACCAGAACCTGAAATTGGGAAAAAGACAGAACTTTTACTAGACCTGAATGGCAAAATTAAAAATTAATATTTGAAGAGTAAATAAAGGAAGGCATCAGTATTTTCTGGTTGATTACATCCATTCAAGAGTAAAAGAAGGCATCGGAAAAGCCCTACAATAAAGATGCAAGTCACAGCAATGCAATAACAGCTCGCCTGTCCAAATTTCACCTTTGTTTGAAATCCTCATGGAGGCGGGCCAGCAAGCACAATGCCTATGTAAATATCCTGAGCTACAATCTGTGAAGTCTCAAAGTCTGCAAGGTAACTGTCTCTCCCTTAATTTATAAAAACCTGTTTGTGCATTTTAAGTCCAAGCCTATTATTTTATAGAAAAATGTTGTAAGTGGGATATCTAATTTCCCAGGCCACAAGAAATAACAAGTAATAGGAAAAGAACTACTGTAAGCAGGCACATTGATAACAGTAATGAAAAGCAAGAGAGAATAGTCAGATGACAAGAGATTAAAGACAAACTATTAAAAGGCAAAAAATAATCTAAGTGTCTGAGCACCAGGTAGAGGAGAAATTGCCCATATAGAATCCTGTGGTAACCTCTGTACTAGATACTGAGACAATACAAATGTTTCAAACACAAACTGCATTCTAGTTTAAAGGTAAGAAGGTGTACATCCATTCCTTCATTCAATTCTTATGTACTGAGTGCACGACACAAAGCCACTTACTGTGCTTGGAAATAGGGACATGACAACGAAGCAATGCAATCTCTAGTTAAAGTGCATTTAGAAAGATATTTAATCCAAAATGACTGAATTTCAAAATATTTAAGAAGGTAAAGTGTAAAAGGTAGAAAAACAATTTAAAACATGCTACATGAGGCATCTGGGTGGATCAGTCCGTTAGGTGTCCAACTCTAGATTTCAGATCAGTTAATGATCTCATGGTTTGTGAGTTTGAGCCCTGCATCAGGCTCTGCGCTTATAGCATGGAACCTGCATGGGACTCTCTCTTTCTCTCTCTCTGCCCCCCACCTGCTCAAGCTCTCTTCCTCTCTCTGAAAATAAATAAATAAACTTAAAAAAAAATGTTACCAAAGTTAATTCCTTTTCCAAAGTTTCCAAGAACAAGGTAATATTACACCTGCATTTGTCAGTGTTTCTGTGTGGCCTAAAATTCAAGCTGTTATTCTACCAGGAAATGCTCTTATATTATTCAACCATGTTTAAAGACAATAATATTTTAAAAGTAATGATTAAGGGCACCTGGGTGGCTCAGTTGGTTAAGCGACTGACTCTTGGTTTCTGCTCAGGTCATGATCTCACAACTCATGAGATCGAGCCCTGTGTTGGGCTCTGCACTGACAGCACAGAGCCTGCTCTGGATTCTCTCTCTCCCTCTTTATCTGCCCCTCTCCAATTCACTCTCCATCTCCAAACAATTAAATAAAATAAATAAACATTTTTTTAAAGTAATGATTGGTTTCATAATGAATAAATGGAATAGCAATGAAAAAATGTGATGTACTTCCCCATGAAAAAACTGAACAGCATGTAGATGACATGAGGTGAAATTTTAATTTCATTAGTCTGCTACAATTTCACAGAATGTTCTAAACTGTGTATAAATTATTCTAGTAAACCTTAACTAAAAATGTATCCCAAAAAGGCACAATTAATTTAGGAATTTGCAAAAGTCAGATAAAGTTTAATTTTTAGAAGCCTACCTTTCCCTTGGTCATACTGTTTAAATGGAAGAATATAATAAACATTGCTCAAACATACCACAAATGTTTCTCACCCTAACAAAATTTCTTGCAGTCACTTAGGTCTAAATACTATCAAGATCACAAATTTGTTGTAAAGAGAATACAATTTAATTCCATAGACAACTAGAAAAACAATAATAAATTTTTTTTTAAAATTTTTTTTTCAACGTTTATTTATTTTTGGGACAGAGAGAGACAGAGCATGAATGGGGAAGGGGCAGAGAGAGAGGGAGACACAGAATCGGAAACAGGCTCCAGGCTCTGAGCCATCAGCCCAGAGCCTGACGCGGGGCTCGAACTCACGGACCGCGAGATCATGACCTGGCTGAAGTCGGATACTTAACCGACTGCGCCACACAGGCGCCCCATAAATTTTTAAAAAGGAATAGAGAAAGAAAAAATTTTAATTGTTTTTTTTGAGAGCGGGGGGAGGGAGAGAGAGAGAGAGCGCATGTGAGCACAAGAGGGGCAGAGAGAGAAGGGTGCAGAGCGTTCAAAGCAAGCTCTGTGCTGACAGCAGAGAACCAGCTGCAGGGCTTGAACTCATGAACCATGAGACCCTGACTTGAGGTGAGGTCGGATGCTTGACCAACCAAGCCACCCAGGTGCTCCAGAAAAGAAAATTTTAAAAGAAGCATTCAAGCTTGTTCATCCAACAGCCCCTACTAAGGAGGCCCACCTGGAAGTGATCTGGGGGTGAAGACACAAGCTTCAGTTAAGACAGGAGGTAGAGAGAAAGCTCAAAGAGGAGACAAGCTACAAGGCAGTTTGCTGGTGGTGGAAGGCACAGCAGCAATCTGACCTCGGCTCCTAGGCACTGCATAAATCATCCACAGAGATCGATGCCAGGGATTCCAGGAAAACTGAGATGCACCTGTTTCTGATTTAAAGATAAGGCCCTGGGGCGGCTGGGTGGCTCAGTTGGTTAAGCACCCGACTTTGGCTCAGGTCATGATCTCACAGTCCGTGAGTTCGAGCCCTGCATCAGGCTCTGTGCTGACAGCTCAGAGCCTGGAGCCTGTTTCGGATTCTATGTCTCTTTCTCTCTCTGCCCCTCCTCCACTTATCCTCTGTCTCTCTCTGTCTCTCAAAAGTAAATAAATGTAAAAAAAAAAAAAAAAAATTAAACATAAAGCCCTGCAGGCCCAGAGATCTGTTTCCCTTGTCTTCTCACCCCTATTACCCATAGTGGCTCCTGGCTCCTTAATCATCTCTCACCAGATCTCCTTCCCTATCAGCCTATATGCTAGTTTTTCTCAGAAGATCCCTCATCACTACTTCAAAGAGGAAAGGGCTGACATATTAAGTGAGAACAGGGCAGTATCCTACCACGTGTCCCAAAGTTCTTGCATCTGCACTCACTTTTCTTCCTACTCTACAGCAACAATGGATGAGCTACCCCTTATCTTGCACTAGATACCAAACCTACTTATCTTCTTCTGGAGATTCCTGCATCAGTTGCCTTTTTTAGCTTTTGGATCTTTAATTTATCTCTCCTCAGCAGTTCCTTTTCAGCAATATCAAAACATGCTCACTTACACTCAGCTTTTAGAGAGCTCTCCCAAACTTGGATTCCCCTGATTCTTCTGTCTGTTCCCTCTACCAGTTATAAATCATGAAGGTGTTTTCTACCCTTATGCTCTCCACTTTCATTCCTTTTGTTCATCAAACCAAAGTCCACCTAATAACCTTCCCCCAACACATTACTACTCCCACACCCTGAAAGTGCCTTTGGCATCTTTGTTGTCCAATACAACAGGGAATTTTTTTTTTAACGTTCATTCATTTTTGCGAGACAGACAGACAGAGCATGAGTGAGGGAGGGGCAGAGAGGGAGACACAGAATCTGAAACAGGCTCCAGGCTCTGACCTGTCAGCACAGAGACCAATGCGGGGCTTCAACTCACAGCCCATGAGATCATGACCTGAGCTGAAGCCGGACGCTTAATCGACTGAGCCACCCAGGTGCCCCTACAACAGGGAATTTTTAATCATTCTCTTAAGCAACCTCTCAATTTCATCTGGTATCAATTTCATCTGATACCACGCCCTCCCTCAAAGGCTTTCTTCCCTCCTTGTTCATCATGTCATAAAGTATTAATGCTATCTTTTTGCAATATTTCAAGCTCATTTGCAGGATTCTCTTCCCTTACCTATTTAAATACTGGGTTTCTTTGATATCAGGTTTCTCATGCCATCGTTTCTTCTTATTTTATAGGTGTGTTTCTCCCAATTTTATCTCCCAGAAACCACTAAATATGCATTAAGAAAGATCACTAATTGTTGTAATTAAAAAATAAAGATTCAACATAATATTTAGAACATTATGTTAGTAGTAGTAATGAGAATAAGTGTAGCTTAATATCAATGAGATGAATGATACTGTTACACTCTATCAAGGTATTTACATCTACCTAGATGATGGATGTATTGAGCTCTATATCACTTTATATATTCAGTAATTTCTTTTCTTACTCTCTATTTCCACTAAATGAGAAAATCCTACCTCATAATTACAGGTTCATAGAATAGGTGCTCATTTTGATTGTTTTGGACAGTCAGGCCCAACATGAAGCCTGAAATTATAGAGATTATTTTTTTATTGAAATCTACTTCATCTACTTTCAAATAACAAGCAAATGCCGAGCTGGTTGATGAACATACCACACTCAAAAGCCAAAGGTAAAGAAACTCAGGCAATAGCATTAAATAGTATTCTACTCTTCAATGGCATTCATCTTTGGGAAAAGTTTCTTCAGCTTCCACTACCAGGAGCTCCATAACCTATACAGTGTCTTTGTGCAAATTAGAAAATGACACATGCTCTAAGAAACTGTCGTCCTGATGGTACCCTTATTTAAAGTAAAAATACCCCCTTCATTTGTTGAGACACAGAGTAGAATAGTGTTCATAGCCTTCATGAGCAGCACATAGGCTGGTTTTAGCTTCCAATCATCAACCCAAGCTGCGTAGAAACTACACAATCATATTCAGTCTATCTGTCTATTCAACATTTCAATACATTTTTTTCTCCAATAAATCTTGGAAAAAAGCCAAACTTTAGATGCGTTAGTGATTTCTCCCATATTAAAAATTATGATATTCAAATCCTATAGGTATATGTCCAAAACATGGATAGGATTACCTGGTGGATCATTTGAGCTAGCCACTTAAAATAATGAAAATGACAATATGGAAAAACATCAGTGCTATGAAGATATTATTTTTAATCTCATTCCTGTT